TCCCCATGCGTCCTCACCGGGCCTCGAGGGATTCACACCAGCAGATTCGTCGCACCTGATTCTAGTCTCAGGGAACTGCAACTTGGGATCGACTGACACCATATTTCTGCAGCTAGTCATGTGGAAATAAAGATTTTTTCGACTCTGGAATCCTGTCCTTTCTCTGAAGTTGGGCTCGAAGGGCCTCATTCCTTTACTTGCAACCATGAGCAATGCTGTTGGACTGACTTAAAACTGGGAAGTTTTTATGCCATTTTCTGCTGGAACTTCATCTGGTCAACAAGGACAATAACGCAATTCCCATCCATTCTGGGGCCTTCAATGGTTTGCTCTTGCAAAAATTTTCTCATTTATGATCTCTTCCTCTTACATTGAGGAGAACCCAATGAACACAACTCTTAAATCCCAGCTGTGTCACTGCTGGGATCAAAGCATCCATGCGAGAAAATAGCAACATGTATGTAATCCTACTGTCCCGCAGCTGGGATACGGCAGCATCTCACCAACTGCCATAAAACTGGTTATTTCCAGCAGGGATTCAGGAGCCCAGACAAGTCAGCCGAGGAAGCTCAGTAATGTCCCAAGTGTTTTTCTGCTGCAATCATCCAGCTGTAATAAAGGTGATTATTGCCTTTGAAGTGCAGCTGTTATTCAACAGCTTCCATACACAACTGGGGTGTCTCTGCTGTGAGACAACTGCATTCCAACCGGGAAAGACCAAGTTGGTCTGCGTGAGCACGTCATAGGGTGAATTCTACTAGATGCCACTAGATGTCGGTAAGGGTCTCGCTTTTGGCCAAATACACAAAATTGCAATTCCCTCTTACCATGGAATCATCCCTCACAGGATCGTTTAGTACCTCACTAGTTTCATTCTAGCAATTAGTAAAATCTGACATTTAATCATTTATTATCCCCATATTCGAGACAGAATCATGGACCCCAGGCGATAAACTAGCTCATCTTCCCAATTAGAACTCCTATGCGATACAGAGTTTTTAATTCCATCACAAATGATGGCTTTAGCCTTAATGCTTTCATCTCTGGAGGGAGGAGTAAAGGGACACTCTATATGGGGAGGCAGCTGGGAAAGAGCTGAGTGTGCACCTTCAGGATAAGAGGAGAGAATTATTGGAGTTTTAACTGGGAAAGTCACGCAGCTTGCAGCAGAGAAAATAGGACTGCTGTTGCTCAGCTGTGATCCAGCTGTGCTGGATGCATATACTCCGTTGCAGTGCAGCAGGGCAGGTCAACTTCCAGCACAGCTAAGCTACAGCAGTTCTATTTTTCTGCTGCTACTCAGCTGCATAACGTGTGACATTCCCACTTGAGAATCTGCTGATTTTCTCCCCTTTTCCACAGCTGCATACTCGACTCTTTCCCAGCTGCGTTCCAGCAGTGTGTGCTACCAGGAAAATCGAGTATTGGTGGTTGATCCATCGATGTCTCTCATTAGCAGTGACGTAGCCAGGTTTTCGTCAATGAGGGGAGCTAATGGGGCCCCCTCCCCATTAACTAACTTCTCCTCGTCGGAGTGGGGCGGACGCATTCAGACCAGAGTTGGGGGGACTGGAACCAAACTTGGGGGGGCTTCAGCCCCCCTTGCTACGTCACTGCTCATTAGGAATAGAATGCCCTAGCCTCGATGTGATTGAAGAAATAAATTTAGCCTGTAAAGCTTATAATCAAATTTACATGTAATTATTTACAAAGGGCTTTGTGGGTTAAATTGCAAGTTCCATTCTGAAAACGTGACATTGAATGCAACAGGACCTGCAAAGTCTGAGAACGGGGACATTCGTGCATGTTCTACCACTGCACACGAGATGAAAGGCCTCACCCTCTCCAAGGAGGCAGGGAAAAGCGATGGGGATACGGCCCATTCCCACGCCCCACCCCCATCCGGGACCAGCGGGCTGAAGACCTCGTCTGCGTCTCATGCCTCCGCCCAGTCGTCCTCTTCGCTTCACCTCAGTCGACAGGATCTGCAAACCCTCATGCCACTTGGTACGTTCTTCATTGCTTCAGAAGGAACTTCTCATAAGGAAGTTCCTTAGCCCTAGTTATTTAACCGCCCCCTCCCCGGTGAATTGTGCCACCCTTAGGCACGTGCTTAGGGCCGGCCCTGTTTCTGTGAATTGCTGAACGCGTATTTCGAAACTGTACCTTTGCATTGGCTGAGTAGTGACTCTTAGCCATTTCGTATTACTATGTATAGGTATTATTTATATGTATATGTATTTCTTATTCGCGCAATTGTGTTCAGCGTTGAAGCTACTCTTCGACGATGAATCTAAAATATGTACCATCTTATGAGACAGGAACGTGTGACAATCAGAAAGGAAGAATTTCCGTCTGCGGCATTGAGGTCTTCCCAATGGTCCGCGCCTCAGAATACACCAACTACACAGGTTTGTATAAAAAAAAATAATAATAATAATAATGATTCTATCTATTCCATTATAACTTCTGTGCAACGTCTGCGCACATTATTGTCTCAAAACGCGGGAAAATTGATCGCAAACTTTCGCTAACTTTCGACCGCATTCGTCTCCTATAACAGCACACTATCCTTTACGATTAAAACTGTCCTTTTCCCCCAAGACAGTGAACAAACTTGAACTGTCGTCTGAAGAGGCTGCGTATAATCTTATCATCCCTTACAATCTTGATGTCTATCATGAGCCGGCAGCATTACATTACATGGTATAATAATTGTGACTGGTGAAATATGCTGCTTGGCGCAATATCGAGTAAGACTTGCTTAGAATAAGACACATTTGTGCAAGTAAAGGCGTTGGCGGATGGCCGGCTAGCGAGAGCGGCGCCATGACGGGAGAGCGCCTATGGGGAAGATGCGTTCTCAGGAAGGAGTTGGCGGGAAGTGAGAGTGGGGTTGACTATTAAGAGTTCCGGTTTGACTGAGGGAGTCATCTCTGATCGTCTTCTCGAAGGAGATAGTTCCGCGCTGTCGTATAGATGGCAGGAGGGAGATGCGTTTCAACATGGCCCCTCGCAGCGGCTCTTCTCCGCCTCATGGGCCTAGAGTGCTTACGACTCGGTGAAATTTGAAGTAGGCCTACCCATTCTTCCTTTGCTTTATGCATCAAATTTTCGAAATTCCATGTTTTTCAGTTCAATGTTTGACGGCACGTGTTAAGTTTGCCCTCGCTGGTTCATTTGAACGCTCGTTAACTTTATTATATATGACGCACTTTCAAGTATTGCTAGATCTACCCTTGGACATGCATAATCCTCTATACAATTTCGTCGCTTAGCCTTAAATACTTTTATGTTATCATCGCCCTTGACTAACCTTGATGCCAGATTCAGACTTATTTCATCGACTTATGCTTTTTGACTAAGGGGAGTACTTGCTAACGATAAATGCAGATCTGATTCGAAAAATGACCCGTCATAATGGAAAGTTCTAATGAAACAGAAACTTAAGGCTTGCAGACTTATACATCTCATGCACATGTACATTTATTGATGTTTTCAAATTTCATGATGCTGGGTGGAACCCCCCACATTTCTTACTGTCACTCCTTGCCATTACTCTGCCTCAAGAATTGTTTGACATCTGTAAATTAAATGTGATCATAAATGTGACCCTTATCATTCTGCAAATGAGTCTCCAAGTGGTGTTGTCATATGTATATGCTATATTTCTTTGTGTGTTTGTGAACAGAGGCAACTAACTTATCCCTCCTCTGTGAAAAATCTATTTTATGAGCCACAAGCTGTGTCACATTTTTAGCAATGATCATGAGTGGAATATTTGATTATCTTCAGCATCCTAACATGCAGATTGAAAGGTGATACCAGTCATGTTCTCACTGCTTCCCTGGGTGATCGTCTCCCTCTGTGCGACACGAGGAAACGGAGGAGACGTTACGCCTCACCTCTTCCAAGGGCAGTCGTATGCCCTGGCCGCATTTGGGGATTTCAACGCCGACAAGTTCACGGACCTCTTCGTCCTCTCGGACGACGGGAAGACCGTGGAGATCCTGTATGCCGTTCCAGACGACGAGATCAACATGTTCAAGCGGAGCGGTGTGAAGTGCTCCTACGAGTTCCAAATCACGAGTGTGGTGCCTGGGGATTTCAATGGAGACTTTCACTTGGACTTGCTCATCACCAAGGTCCAAGAGGGAATGCTTTCGCATGCCTACATTCTCTGGGGGGACAAGAAGGACTTGAACTGCTCCCTGTACGGTCCCATCGTTCTCCACGACGAACCTCTTGTCATGGATTACAATGGGGACATGATCCCCGATCTCTTCTCGCAGAGTCCTGATGGAAATAGAACCTTTTGGGTCTTCAGTGAACACATGAACTTTACCAATCAAACTCTACCCGGAGGAAGCGATCTCCCAAATCTCCGCTTCCCCAGCTCCCATGCGTTCGTGGACCTGAATGCAGACACCTATCCCGATCTATTTGTCACGTCGGGAAGCGATAAGGAATGGCAGTTTGAAGAATACCACTCGGTGAATGGAGTGTTCGAGCATCAAACACCGTATGAACCTCCCTCTTCGCTGGTCCACGTGGGCCAGTCGGCTTTCGGCGACGTGGGTCGAAACGGGACCATCAATCACCTGCTTCCTGCTTGTCTAGATGAGCATTGTAGGCAATCGACTGTATTCCTGTACTATAATGATATTTGGCACGACCTGAAATTGAACTGTACGCGAGGAACGGAGCAGTGGGGCTTCGCATACAGGCCCGGTCGGAGTTACATCGACACCATCACCATCAGGCTTGGGGATTACAGTCTGGATGGCCATGTGGACTTTCTGGCAACATTGGAGAACAAGGACAATCCTGGTATCACAAAAGTGGTCCTCTTTGAGCACGTCCAGTGCGAGTCGTGCTTCCTTAAGGCTTCTTTCGTCCCCCAGTGGGACGAACTGGATCGGTACGAGGGAGCAGTGATGGGCACATTTTTCGACCTGAACGAAAACGGACGCTTGGATATCATCCTCGTCAAGCAGCTGCCACCAGACACGCAGAATTTCAGTCTGGTGCTGCACCAAAACGAAGTGAAGACGAAATACTTCCTGAAGGCCTCCGTCGGCAGTGGGATTTGCAACCGCCGTTCCTCTT